ATAAAGTTTAAAAATATGAAAAACCAGAATAGAGATATATTAGATACCTTCTGGGAGGAGATGGCTTGCTCTACAAACTGTTGGCATGAGCAACATCACAGGGTAAGCATTTAACTCAAATGGTAGTGTTCTGTACCTGGTGGCACAGTGGGCTAAGGTGCCACCTGTGAGTCTCAGTAGCTCTGCTCTGATCCAGCTTTCGGCTAAGGTGCCCAGGTAGGCAGCGGATGACAACGGCCTAGGTACTTGGGACCCTACTATCTCTGTGGGAGATCCTGATGGCGTTCCTGTGCTCCTGCCTTCAGCCTGGCCAAAACATTCGTGGAGTGCATAAACAGATGGAAGATTCTTATCATTTCTCTCTATAGTTCTGCCTTTCAAACAGATACATACATCTTAAAAAAAAATCTTTTAAAAGCATTTGTGTACAAAAGCTGCTACTGGCTGCTGTTGATTAGGAAGAAATTTTATCTTCATTACACCAGACCCAATGGGTTTATAAAATACAGTTACTTACCTGAAGCAATGCACATGTTTCTTAATAAACAAAAACAGCCCTTCATCTGAATTAATGAGCTGGCAACCAGAGTAGTGGGCTTCTTGCAGGTGTGTTTCTCCCAAGGGCAGGCAGGACTGGGGCTGCCTGCAGGACCCAGGGCTCACTCCTGCCAGGAGAAGCTCTCCCCATCACCCAGGGACAGTCTGCGAGCATCTCACCTGGGTGATCCTGCATGGCGCAGACATGGAGCCTTCCTGGAAAGGCCTGCTTCACAAGGTGGGAAACCCGCTAGCACACCCATCCCCACTCCACAGGACTCTACCACCTGTCAGCCAACGAACACAGGACTCTTGCTGTTCCTCCCCAGCCAGCAGACAGGCCTGTATCTACCGAAGGGAAGACATCAGTCCCTTATGAGACTTTCCTGTTTAGAAATTACATCTGGGGCCCGGCGTGGTGGCAAGTGGCTAACGTCCTCATGCCAGGAATCCTTATGGAAACCTTACACATGCCAGGAATCCATATGGGCGCTGGTTCTAATCCCAGCAGCCCAGCTTCCCATCCAGCTCCCTGCTTGTGGCCTGGGAAAGCAGTCAAGGACGGCCCAAACCCCTGGGACCCTGCACCCATGTGGGAGACCTGGAGGAGGCTCCAGGCTCCTGGCTTCGGATCAGCACAGCTCTGGCTGTTACAGTCACTTGGGAAATGAATCATTGGATGGAGGATCTTCCTCTCTGTCTCTCATCTTCTCTATATATCTGACTTTGCAATAAAAATAAATAATTTTTTTTTAAAATATTACATTTGGCAGCGTCTAGTGGCACAGAGGTAAAGCCAGCATGGGTGATGCCCGTATCCCACTCTGGGTGCCAACTCAAGTCCCCATGGCTCTGCTTCTGGTGCAGCTCCGTACTAATACTTCTTAGAAGACGACTCCAGTTCCTGGGAGCCTGATACTCACATGCAAGACCCAGATGGGAGTTCCTGACTCCTGGCTTCAACTTGGCCCAGCCCTGGCCCTTGTGGCCGTTTGGGGAGTGAACAAGTGGATGCAAGCTATCTTTCTCTCTGTCTCTCCCTCGATCTCTCACTTTTCAGGTAGATGGATAAGATACCATGCTTGATGGCTTCCTGTTTTTCTGCAATACACTCCCAGAGAACAGGAGCTGAAAGTCAGCAGGGGCTCTGCCAACAGAGCAGTAAGGATCCTTCTGACCCACTCTGGCAGACCCACAGACATAGGAAGAGTGGAGAGACGCTCTGGTCACCTGCCCTGGGCACTGAGGGCAAGTGGGTACTGGACCAGCCCCAAGGGAGGCTCCCCAAGGCCACACCTGATTGGAAGGGCAATATCCAGAGGACCCCTTCCACTAGCTGTGCCCCCCACCCCAGGTGCTATAGCAGCCAGGCCATGTGGGTCCCAAAGAGGTGACAATGCTCATACAGGGGCCCGGCCCCACAGTGGCCCCACATCAGAGAGGGTGTAGACAACAGGAGGTTTTTCCCAGCTCAACCTTGGGGCTCTGTGGGGTGGGGGTGCATCCTTCCCTCACTGTGACCTCACCCCATCAAAACTGCACTAGAACACATCAAAACCACCATCCACCTCTAAGATACTGCTACATCCCTAACCCGTGTGGGTTCTGCCACCCCGCGACTTCACGAGCTGCTCTGGATTCTGGGAATGGGTGTGTGCTTCAAGTTTGGCTTACACACTTTCCTTACTCATCTTAACCACATCAAGGAATCCCCCAAGACAGTGCATTTTCTCAGCAGCAAGGGAAGCTACAAGAAAGAATGGGGCGGGGGAAACGGGCTTGTTTTCCCAAGCTACATGAAACACTTTTATGTTTTATTCATGCAAAGTGAAAAGCCCTTTCCTTTGCAGCTTTACAAATTGAATTTGCTCTTGTAAATTGCTACTGGGGGAAAAAAGAATCAAAAGGAAAGGAAAGTGGAAAAAAACAAGCAGGACTCTGAAGGAAAATGTAGGGGGCTAATGGGGGAGGTGTAGAGCGGCAACCCAAGGACTCTATTCACTGCCTGTTCCAGAAGTTCAATGGCCGTGACCTTGCAGAGGCCTGGCTGCCAGGATGCAACCCTGGGCATATTTCTAAATTACACCAAGCTGCTAACACTGAGCAACTGATTTAAACATGAGTAACCAGGCCCACATTTCCAAACTGTAACCAAGGCAGTGTGAACTAATGCACTGGGGGCAGGGGACGATGGGGTCTTTTTTGCTCTCAGTGAACTCCTTAGTGTCAACACGCTCCCCTCCTCCAGACCCTGGGGACACACACTATCCCTGGAGCCCTCTCCCCGCTACCCACCACCTGCCCAAGCTCTGACTTCTCCCCTAGTCCTGCTGTCCTACAGGGGGAGCCACCTAATGAGCCCCAGCTCCTAAGCTGCTCAGAGAGAGTATGGATTGCGCATTGCCTATGTTCCCATGGCTCTGCCAGTTACCTCCCCAACACACACCGACAGACGCACATGGGCACACGGACATGCGCAGACACACACGCATGGACACACATACACGCTGTGGTCTTTGTGTTCCCCACTTTATAGGCGAGAGAAACTGAGACCCCCAGAGTTTGAATGAGTTCATCAACTGGAGCTTGAATCATTTCCCCCAAGACAAGCAGTTTGGCTGCCTCATTGTAACAGGCTGGAGTGGACTAAATGCCCCGTCAATGAAACCCAGCAACAACCCACCTGCACAGAAGCCTATCAAGGCATACACGTGTGTACTGTAAGACACACAAGGCCATCAGACTGTACACTTACTGACTATAAGCACACAGGCTCACAGGGATATACAGGTGTGTACTGTAAGGCCAAAGGTGTACATTTACTATTAGTACAGAAGTCTGCTGAGGTGTACATGAATACACAGGCCTGCTGAGATGCACACATATGTACTCTAAGAGTGTACAAGCCCATCAAGGTGTGCAAGTATGTACTGTGACAACACAGAAGCCCACAAAGTGTACATGTGTGTACTTATAAGAACATAGCTGCCAATCAGTGAAGTCAACATACTTTAAGAACATATAATCCCATTGAGGTACACATGTGTGAACACGAGACCATTGAGTTGCGTGTACGAAAGTGAAACGGCTCCCGCCTTGGAAACAAACTGGGGGATGAGGGGCCAGGAAAGGACAAAGCATCTTGCACCCAGGGGCTTTGACTGAGGCTGAACATCTTTAGAAATGACTTTAAGAACGACCACACTTGATAGACTCTTCCTTGTAAAAGGAATCCATTCATGCGTGGGCAGCTGCCAAGCAGTGAGCAGCAGGTGCATATGCATAATCTGTGCACTCCTTTCCCCGCAAGCAAAGCCTGGCTGTCACCTCCCATCCCTGCACAGCATGCTCGAAGCCACACCGTGCTCTCGGCAAGGCTTAGCCTCGAGCTTTTCTCTATCTCGCAAGCCATTCCTCACAGCTGCTTCAGTACAACTGCTTGCTCCTGACACACACTTAGTTATATTTCCTCCTTCCTGGCTTAGGGCTTGGAGCTGAGGCAGAAGACAACCAGCACACAAGGAACACCACGGATGCCCAGCGTTGTTACAGAGAGGCTGAGATGAACCAAATCAGAGCCTCCTGCAAGATGACCATGGAAGCCAGTATGACCCAGCCGGCCTGGCCGGGGAAGCAGGCACCCGAAGGGCCAAGCCTCTGTCATCTGCTCTCTGCATGCACCTGCTTTGGCCAAGTTCGAGTCCCTCTTCAGGGTAGCAGTACCTCACCTTGTAGCCCCGCTCTCGGGGCTGGGAGCACCTCTGATACCTTGGCAATGTGCACAGGTAGACCATAACCTAGACATCCACTGCATTGAACGGAGCCCTCCAAATAGGGTGTCCGTGCTCACTGCTGCCTTACTACTGGGCCAGAGACCTGCGCATCGGAAGGGCTTCCCTTCTGGTCAGCCTGGAGCACAAAACATTTACAGCACACACAGCAAGCACTACTTCCTTGCACGGAGCCGATGTGCAGTAGAGCTCCGATTTTGTTTGTTTTTAAAGAAAAAGTGTAGTGACCCCCAAACCCCAGAAATTTCTGGCCATCACTTCACAACCCAGGGTTTGGCATGAAGAGCAAGCAACCCCACTTTGGGAACAAACCCTGGCAGGAGTGGGTGTGAAAAGGCAGAGACACAACTGGATGGCACAAAACTGCACAAAGAGAAAACAAGAGGTCTAGCCCACTGGTAGAGGGGTTAGGGACTTGGCTGAACCAAGAAGCAAGAGGCAGAATTGGAAGGCAGGAAAGAGAAACCAGGAAGAGGTGAGGCGGAGAAGGCGGAAGCTCGGTAGCTGGCAGGGTCTACGAGGCAGAGAAACGGGTGTGCCAACACTTTCCACCTCGCCGCCCGGAGCTGATGTGGTGCCAGGTGCAGTGAGGTGCTGGGGGGAGTGCCTGTCAGAGGGAAGCTGCAGGCGGCTGCCTGCAGGCCACGGCACCTGCGACCGCCAGGGACTCACCGGCCGTTGTCGCGGCCCACGCCCCACACGCGGATGCTCACGATGGGCTGGGAGTGCAGCACGGTCCGGTCCATTGGGTCCACGAGGCTGAGCGTGTCATTCTCCAGGATCAGGTACATGTCCTTCCCCTGTGTGCGACAAGAAATATGCTGTCTTCCTCACACACACCTCCCTCCTTACCGCCCGCCCGTGTGTGCGCCAGCTCGGGGCATGGATCAACCTCCAGAAACAGCTGCCCTTTGCACCCGAATTCTTCCCCGTCTAAAAACAATCCCAAGTCTTTGCCAGTCCCAGGTCTTGTCTTGCGGTTCTCTAAAGTGTGCTCCTGACTGCTGTCAGCTCACGTTACTCTGATTGACCGACATGTGTGAATCCTGAAGATAAAACAATCTGTCTGTCTTCCTGGAGAATAGGCTGTGTCACTAACTCTGTGTCCACCAGACTGCTGCAGCGGCCTCCTCCACTTCCCTCCAGCCAGGCCCCACCAGGCACCTGCTCCAGGGCTGTCCTCCCCTAAGAAGCAAATAGCCTCTTGCCCAGCGCTTCCCACCTAGGCGAGCTGGCGAGCACATGGGCTCGGGGTCTAACATCCTGCAAGTCACTGCAACTCTGTCCTATTTTAGGGTCAACACGAGCTACCGTGGGGAGGCAGGGGCACTTACCTCCCACTGGAACCTTATCTGAGTAGGACATGTGAGTGGAGGCCCTCACAGCCTAGCCCCCAGCAAACTCTGGGACTCACACTGTCACCCTGGATGGGGTGGGGCGACCGCGGCGGGTGCCACTCCCAGGTGCCCCCCAATGTGCTGATGCTACAGATCTTAGAACACAGGGGGACGCAGCTTCTCTTGTTCTAAGTGGCTGTTACATAGTTACCTTTCCTTTTTGAAACTGGCTCAGCTAACACTTCAACACAGCACAACAGTGAGAACACACAGGTGTCAACTCCCTAACAAGTGCGCAGTGTTGATCTGCAGAGTGCCAGCCAAGAGGTGTGTGCCAGGAACGTGTAACTCATCTGGAACAGAGCTACCCACGTGTGTCAGAGTGAGACAATCGCATTCCATCCACACAGATTCCCAGAGTCCAGGGCTCCTCCCTGGAAAGCCGCTTAGAGGTGGGCCTGCCCAATTCTGCATGCATTTAGGGGGGCTCTGCATGAGTACTGCTTATGCGTGCATTCTTGATGACTCAGTGAGCCTGCCATTTGTCCCTGAGAAATTCTTCCTTGCAGGGCCTGGCCTCCACTGGGAACAGACGACAGGCACAGTGCACCCCACGGAGCACTGGGTTCCTGGAGCCACGGAGGGATGTGACCCTACCTGCTATGGGTGAGCTCCTGGCGGCACTCACCTCTCCCCAGATGCCAACTGTGTCACGGATGTCGTTCTTGCAGTAGGAGAGCTGCCGGATGCAGTTGTTGACGGCCACGCTGCTCTTCCCAGGTGCGAGGTCCTCCTCGGCCATCTCCACCCACCCCAGGGAGCGCACGGCGAAACACTGCAACGCAAGTCAGAGGGCCTGAGTCACTCACTGGCCCCACGGCATGTCCACATCGGCTTAGGCCACACTTCCCTGCCACCTTCAACCATCCCACAGCCAACAAATCTTCTTTGATGCTAAATTTAACTGCAACTTTCTTTTTTCCCTTAAAAGGGATGGGGGAGCAAGAACAGGGCCAATGCCATGGCATAGCACGTTGAGCCCCCACCTTCAGTGCTGGTATAATATGGGGCTGGTCCAAGTCCCAGCTGCTCCACTTCGGATCCAGCTGCTTGCTAACAGTCTGAGAAAGCAGCAGAGGCTGGCCCAAGGCCTTGGGACCCTGCACCTACATTCGAGACCCGGAGGAGGTGCCTGGCTCTTGTGTTTGCACTGACCTAGTTCTGGCCATTGTAGCCATTTGGGGATTGAATCAGCAGATGGGAGATCTCTCTTTGTAACTCTGCCTTTCCAATAAAAACATATTAGTCTTATATATTTTTAAAGGCAGGGAGAATCTTCTTCTGGATTCTTACATACATGTGTTCAGGTCTTCTAAGTGGAAACGAGTATGGCTAACTAGCAGGCACCATGCTCCTGACCTCCCATCGCTTACTCGGTATTAGCGGTTTGGGTTTTGTTTGCTTCCTGTGTGTGTGTGTGTGTTTTTCCAGTAAAAAATATAACCCTCTGAGATATGTTATTGTTAAGTGCCTAAAAAAAAAGGAAGGCCAGAAGGAAACAAATTAAATAGATATTTGGTACTTGCTTCTCAGACAATGGGGCAAAAGGTCCCTCCAATACCCAGAAAAGGAGGAAAATGGTGGTGGTGAGAGGACGTGTTCCCATGGCGACAAACAGGTCTCGGGTCCCACGGTCCGCAGGACCAGCAGTGGCTCCCAAGATGCCTGTATCTGGCGTGCAAACAGGAGACACCTGCAAGCTCCAAGACGCTGTTGTGTTTCCATCCACTGGAGCCAGATGCCCTCGTTTCCTTCTTATCCTTTCATCTTCTTTCCCTCTAATAACAGTTTTTTACACTTACCATAGCGAGATGCATAAAGAGATGTACCCTACAGTGCATGTGGGGGTGTCCTGGCCCACGGCCCCTGCCTCGCTGCTCACTGTTAGCATTGCTGGGTCTCTGCCTGGCCACATGTCCCTTGCCATGGCCACCACCCTCCCAGCACAGGAGGGCCAGATCAGCCAACAGACTGGCTCTTGGAGAGCAACTCAGAACATTTCCCCAGGTGAAGTTCAAAGCCAAACACGACTGACATGGACAGCTCTGTCCACATGCCAGCCACTGCCACCATCAGCACTATCCCATCACCTTCTTCCAGAGCTGCTAATTGTGTGTGCTCACGGGAAAATCGACCCAACTACCCAGGACAGGTGCTGCCCGGGCTCACCACCCCAGCCCCGTTATACACACGAATGGCACACACGAGGGTGCCTTTCCCGCACAAACCGAATGGACACGACAGTCCCTGCTTCCCTGGGGGAAAGTTCCAGAGAACCCCTAGGACCTTGGCACAAGGGGAGCACACCGCAGCTAGCCTGCTCCCGATGCAGGCACAGGTCAGCCTCTGGTGGCAGCTGACTCTCTGCTTGGTCATTCTGGCTGCCCGTCCTGTGTGCCAGGTCCTCAGCTCCTGTACTTGACAATGTGGCCCCGGTGGGTTGTGGCAGATGGGTCACAGGTGTGAGCCGGCCCATAGTCTCCTTGCTTTTTAAAATCCCTGATTCATGTAAAGATTGTCAAAATATATGTAAAAAAATAAATAAATAAATAAATTTTTAAAAAAGGGTAAAATCCCTGATTCCCAGGGCCAATTCTGTAAGCAGCCCATCTCTCACACGCTGGGTCCACACTCAGGCCTGGTAAGCAGAACAAGTGTCACAGCCTAGCCTGCTAGCCGGCCAAGCTGCCCGCCCTCCAGCCTCCAGCCACATGTCCGAGTGACTTCAACAAGAGCAAATAGCCATGGGGCCATGCCCCAGGACACTGCCAACAAGGCCTTGCCCACGAGTCGAGGGTAGGGGCTCACTGAATCCTCTCCTCGATCCTTCATTGATGGCAGATGCTGTACCCATTGTACAGCCAGGGAAGTCAGGGAAAGTACAACGAGCTGCCAAGTGCTGGGCCCAGTGCTCCAGCCAGCGCTGCCGGCCTCTCCATCGCTCTGTGACTGCCTCTGAGATTTTACTGGAGGGACAGTGATAAGTGAGGCTGGGCCACAAAGAAGGCTCCAGAATGAATGGGTGGCATCGAGAAGTGTTCAGACTACAGACGGCTCAGGAGTGTGGACTGTAGGGGACTCTAGGACCCTCGGCAAGACCCTGGCCAAGGCCTGGAGCCCCTTCCCCCTAACTATTAACGGGAGTGTTGATAACAACCACCACACACAGAACGTTTATGAATAAGAACTACAATAATACAGGCAGAGAACGTAGCATCTACAAACTCATGGGAGCCTGTGTTGAGTGAATGAGCACATGGCCACGGTGCTATACAGATGGACACCACAGCTAACCGGGGGACAAAGAGCCCATTTTAGCAGACTACCAGGAACTGTTCCTCTCACCAGGGACTACGACCACCCAGCCAACCTGCTGGTGGTCCATCTCTGGCAATGGAAATGGCGATCCAAGCGGGAACAGGGTTTAAGGTCGCAGAAGCCACTACTGCACAGCGAAGCCCAAGACCCCAGCGTGACTGTGGGGCGGTCACACACTGTTTGTTGTTTGTATTCTCATTTCAGTCAAAAGGCAGAGTGAAGGAGAGGACATTGGCTGGTTTGCACCTCACATGTCCACAACAGCCAGGACCATGTCAGGTCCCAGCAGGCGGCCTGGGATGCTGCTAGATTCTCTCACGTGTGTAGCCACCAGCTGCTGCCTCCCAGGCTGTGCATCAGCAGGAAGCTGGAATGGAGATGAACCTAAGGACGTGGGCACCCCGAGTGGAAGTTTAACCTCTACACTCTTACAGACTCTTACAACCAGAGCCACAGACGTGTTTCCTGCTGTCTCTAGCCGCTGCTAGGAAACCCTACAGCCTGTAAATACACAAAAGAACTAATTAACAAGAGGAAGCACTGGCTGCTTTTTTGTCTGTGGAGTGCGAGAACACATGGCTTTCAATCTAAATGAACTCACTAAAAAGCAAGGGTGAAGAAGTGCAAAGCACTTAAGCCCACCACAGCCTATTAAGAACACGCCTTTGTTGTGTTAACAAGAGGATGGGCGCCTGCGCTACAATGCAATGATGGATTTATTGAAATCATTTTTCTTGTGCAGTCCTGCAGTTGTTTCACTTTCTAATTCTACCAACCTTACCGCCATTCCATGCAGCCAAAAAGCAGTGAGCAGTATAAGGGGAAATACACAGAACAAGTCCATGCTGTTAGGTGCTGCCCCCGTGTGGCCAGGCAGGGTTATAACCACCATCCCTCTGCTCTGGCAGCACACACTTTAGAATGCAGGAAAAGCTCAAAATACACAATCTTATCATGTGTTTTTCAAATATCTACGGACTGATTTAGATAAGGCAAAGTTAGAGAGAGAGAGAGAGATCTTCTGCTGGTTCACTTCTCAAATGGTCACAACAGTCAAGACTGCAAGAATCAGGAATTTCATCCAGGTCTCCCACGTGGATTCATGGGACCCAAGCACTTGGGCCATCCTCTGCTACTTTCCCACACGCACTAACAGCAAACTGGATCAGAAGTGGAGCAGTGGGGACTCACGCAGTAGGCACCCATATGGGTGCTGCTGGCCCTGACACCAGACTGCTTTGATCACAGCCAGGAAGCAAAGGGCTGCGGAGTTCCACAGGCTTTTCAAGACTCAAAACGCCCTGGGTGGACATGGCCAGGAGGCCCACAGTAACACCAGCCACGGAGCTCACTACAATCAAGCTTGTCCTCCCCACTCCAGTGGCCGGGGAGTTCTATGGAGGAGAGGCATCAGGGCATTGGCTGGCTGGTCCCAGTTCTCCATTAGCGGAAACAAGGAACCAGTGGGGTGAGTTCCTCACCGAGGCCATGACCAAGGCAGCTGAACACTTCCATACCGGCCCCTAGGGGAACATTGCAGCTTCTCCCAGTTCCAAGCCAGACTGGCAGTATCACAGGCTTTCTGCAAAGATCTTGGTTTCCTTAAGAGTTGATGCCACAATGCCCTTAGGGCATGCCAGGCACCGAGCACTGCCGTGTGACCGCAGTCTAGGCTGTGATACCCACCCCCCCTTGCCTGCCTGCCCTTCCAGTACTAGGCGCTGTGTTACTGGAGGGTGGCTCTTCTTTGGGTCACTTCTGTCCACACAGCATGCCACAGAGCCTGGTCCACGGTGACTCATACATATACCAACTGCTTAACTCCCCAGGAGCAATGTGACTGTCAGTTCCTGATCCAGTGCTGGGGTTGGCTCAGGAGCGGGTGTGTGCCCTGGAGGAGACCCACCGTGGTGTCCACTCAGGAGCCCACCACTGTGGGATGACCCCCAAAGAGGCAAGCAGAGGAGCCTGAGCCGACATGGTGACGGCCAGGATCTTCGGACGGTCTTTGCTTTGTGTGAGCTGCCCGGGCCATGTGTCCCAGCCAGCAGAGACCCGGCATGGCCGTATGCTGAGAGCGTACTGCGCAGTCAGATCCAGGACGCGGCGGGGACAGCAGCAGAGGGAGCACTGACACGTGTAGCCGACAGATGTCCCCAAGGCTGCATGTTCTCACCATCATCCCACTGGGCAGGTGCTGGGCTGCTGCTTCCTTCATGGGAAACTCCAGAGGTTTGGAGAGCAGAGTTCAAGTGCCCGAGGTCACACTGTACACAGCCAGCGGTGGCAGGTGCTGCGGGAGGAATCTCCTCATCCACGTGGCGCCAAGGGAGGGAGGCGAGCATTCAGTCACGTTCAAGTCACGGCAGGACCCCGCTCCCAGTGGAAGGTAGCTCAGCCCACGGCTGAACCCATCGTCCTTTGCACTCAGCAGCTGTTCCATAAGCAGCTTGTTCT